GTTACAGTTTGAGGCGTTGGGTTTTTCAAATTGCTGGGGGTGTATTGACTGCACTCATGTCTATGTGGTTAAACCTCGATCGAAGGATGACGCTGACTATTGCTCTGGACGGAACAACTGGTTCTCGATCGTTGCGCAACGGGTGGTTAATTCGGAGATCAAGATCCTTGATTTCTGCTACGGCTTTTCGGGGACTGTTGGGGATGCACATGTTTTGAAAAACATGTCATTATACAGGCGAGCCTTGAAGGGCTCACTGTTCGTCGACGATCCAGAAGTCTTGACCCGTTCGTGGCCAAACGGCCTTCCATCCCCTGTGTGCCCGGTGGGTACTTGCTTGGCGATGGCGGGTATCCTAATCTTCCTTGGCTTGTCATTCCATATGACCATCAACCACGACTCACACGGGCGATGCAGCAGTTCGACGCTCTTCATAAGATAGTGAGGTCTTGCATGAAGCGATTCTTCGGGGTGTTCAAGATGCACTTGCATTTCTTCTACCGTCAACCTATTACCGACATTACGAGGTTGGGGTTTAACTTGGAGTTTTGTGTCTGTTGTATCCTCCATAACCTGCTTCAGGATTGGGGTGATATGCCCGAAGCGGACGACGAAGTGAGCGATGCCTTGTCTTCGAACTGTCCACTTCCGGATGTTGACTGGTGTGTGGACAGTTGTCCATTTTCGTCCATGTTCGGTCAGGAACGGGCCAGACCGTGAGAGCTACGCCGTGCACCGAGCTCCTCCGTTTGTGGGATGTTCGGCAGGAAGCTTGACAGAAAACCGTGGCTCTATGTTCTCATCCGGATCTGTTTGTTGCTATATTTGGCCGTTAGGCGAAAACATTGTTGGCTGTAGCAAGCGAGTGGTAGGTTGCATAGGTGGCGCGTTTGTCGGTGGCTAGCATTGTGTGACGTATCCGCGCGCGTTCAGTGGCAGCTACAGGGACTTCGTGTACGGAAGACGTGCATTGATAGACTACATGGAAAACACGGAGAAGGAGGTGGAACCGCTACACCGGTTTTTTGTGGAAGGGAAGATAGCATCACCGTGACATTGCAGAGCGGAGGACGGTTTCTGAAAGGCACATCTCCCTCAATAACATCCATGCCTGGAGATGGGCATCTTCTGTCCTGAAAAGACTGCGTGACTCGCGTGACACTTTGCAACAGTGATGTGACGACCTCGTCATCAACACCGACAAAAGATCGATGGAGACAAATGACAGATGATATGCGAGTGAGATTTGAACACAGTTCCCGTGCGTTAAGTGACGCGATGAAAAAAAGAGACGATGTGATGAAAAGGTTGGAGGCTGCTGAAGCAGATCTCTAGGTGGCACGCGCTTAGGCTGAAATGGCGTGGAGGGTCTACGAGGAAGTGTTGAATGGGGGGGGGGTGTGGATGGAAGGCGGAGGATAACGAACTAAGTTCGAGTCTATGTTAGTCTCAGATAAGCGCAAAGAGAGGGACGCTTCTACGTCGGAGTCATCGTCATGTGCATCCTGCGATGAAATTCACGGAACTTCGGCAGAGAAGGATAAACAGATCACGATTATAGAAATGACGAACAAGATCCTTTAGTACCTGCCTTCGTTTTGGGGAGAATGCGATCGGGATCTGTTGCATTTCTCTAAGATTTCAGGATTGGGTCATCTTCTATCGAAGTGTGACTGATGGTGGAGAGAGAGAGAGAGAGAGAGAGAGAGAGAGAGAGAGAGAGAGAGCTGGAGTCCTACCGTGCGGGTAATGCTATTTGTGCAATGTTGTTGAAAATGGAGAATGTTCGACAGCCGACTCGGCTAATGACTCGAAATTCAAACTTTTTCCTCGTGGCTTATATTTTGTCTTCTTCATCTTCTTCTTCTTCTTCGGTCGAAGGTTTTTCTTATTCGGTGACCCTTGCGTGTGTGTGCGTATCTTCAGTTCTTCTTCTTCTTCTTCGGTCGAAGGTTTTTCTTCTTCGGTATCTTCGTATGGACGGTCTGCTACAACTGCGGAAGATGGTAACATTGCCTCTGCGGTGCGCAAAACTCCCGAAAAAAGACATTGAAAGTAATTTAAAAGAACACAAGCCAATAAAAGCATTAAATACATAGATTGTCCCTAGGAGCTGCAACACAAACGCACTACCGGGAATCGCCGCTATCCGGATCACGAGATGGACTGTCTGAACGAGGACGTAAGTTATGATTGGCATCAGCAGCCGATGTCACATACCGTTTATTTATTCAAATTTATCGCCATCCTTTTGTCCGTTTTTTTTTTTTTTTAACCTTTCTCTTTAGAGAAACCATCAGAAGAGTTATGTTTTTTTTTTTTTATTATTATTATTTTTTTTATAACCAGAATACTGGCAGCCAGTGTCGTATGATCCAGGCACTCCGACCTGGTTCATACGACGACTACTTTTGGATTATATAAGCCGGAAAACGGGTCCGGAGTTTTTTTTTTTTTTTTTTTTTTTTTAACCGGAACACCGGCAGCCAGTGTCGTATGATCCAGGCACTCCGGCCTGATTCATACGACGACTGCTTTTGGATTATACAAGCCGGAAAGCGGGTCCGGAGTCATGTGTTTTTTTTTTTTTTTTTTTTTTTTTTTTTAACCAGAACACTGACGGCCAGCGTTGTATGATCCAGGCACTCCGTCCTGGTTCATACGACGGCTGCTTTTGGATTATACAAGCCAAAAAATGGGTCCGGCATCCCTTACATCGTAGAGAAGGTTCAACAAAATGAACATAAGAAAAGAAGTATGCAAAAAACCCTAATTATGCTCAACACCAGTAACAAAGTCGTCCATCCTCTGTTAAACACCATACCCTGCGTATCTGCCCTACCTCCCGCACGACAGGGGTCTGGGTCGACATCCCCCCAACCACAGACTCAGACCCCGCAAAGACCCACCCACCTCCTCGCTATTTAAAATGGATCGCACCACCACCGACATTCGCCTACCAAAACCACCACCTCCCACCATGATGGTGATTTCGCTAACCGACAAAAATACCCTACCACCTGCGCGGCATGGGCCAAAGACCTCGCAAAACCCACCCACGTCCTCGCGATTTAGGGTACACCACTCCTCTCATTTGCATTGCCCGGCAATGGGGTCTCCACCGCCCTCCATGACGAAGCTCTCGCAGAGCAACACTCTCCAATCCCACTCAAGAAAACAGGATGTCAGAAGAAAATCCCAACCACATATTAGGAGTCATACGAACCCAACAGATTCACCCCCCACGCGGGAAGGGTCGAAGACCCTGCAAACCCACCCACCTCCTCGCGATTTAGAGCTAACCACTCCCTCAGTCCTTGCCAACCCCTTAGGAGACCCCACCGCCCACCATGACGAGGCCTGTGTGGAGCAACACTCCCAAACCGCCTCGACTGACCAATAAAAGGCACCATATTAGCCCTGACCTATAGACGATCAACAAATAAGGAATTTAAAGCAAAAGAAAATACACACGAAACAAAAACTCCAACCCCTACAAAACAAGAAAACAAAACATGACAAAAGTGCTATGATCCCTACATCAGAGAAACAAAAAACCACGGAAGGGATCAAAATTCCTCGTACATGCTACACACAAGAACTTAAAATTTGAAAAACTCAACCTCTACAAAACCAAAAAACAAAACACGACAAACTGCTATGATCCCTTCATTAGAGAAAGCAAAAATCCACGGAAGGGGTCGGAATTTCTACATGCTACTAACACGAGAACTTAAAAATTGAAAACACTCGCCTAACTCGGCTAAACAAACGTTGGACCATTTCTCGATTTATGCATGTCATCCTTGTGCAGGGGTCATTTGCTAATTTACCGTTCTCTGTCTCGTTCCAAATTTAACGAATGTCCCGAAGGTGTGTGTTTCTTGGGGCCGGGACCCACCGCTATCACCCGTTTTAAACGTGGGACAGTGCTGCGTGACCGGCGTTTGACATTTAAAAAATGGTTTCTGCATTTTTTCAGATAAAAAAAACTCTCCTTTTACAAGTTAAACAAAGCGAAATTTGATTTATGCGTGTCATCCTTGCACAGGGGCCATGCTAATCTTCTATGTATCGTTCCAATTTTATCGGATGTCCCAAAGGACAGAAAGCGAAATTCAGCTTAGTGTTACTCCCCACAAACAGACTGGAGCCTTGTTAAAAAAAAATAAAAAAAATTCAGCTTAGGGTGCATCCCGTCAGCCCATAGAATGAGAGCCATGAAATTTGTTGCCTCTTTTTCTGGATGAGTGCTGGATTCAGGCTTGGATCCTAAATCACTTAGGGAAGGACCCCACTCGCGTGTGGTAGCAGGCGACTTGGAAAGCATCCATAGCCGACGGGAATGGGCAAACGAAATGTGACTCTAGTGCTCGTTCGATACTCCTCGGGGCATCTTCGGGCCCCGAGGACGATTCCTTGGAGTCGCCCGAGGAAATTCCCGCCTTCGTTCCACCCATCCTCGGAGACGTCTCCCGAGGACGATTCCTCGGGGCTCCCGCAGCCAGATTTATATGTGTACAACCAAACGCGCAGGTGGGGCCGACGGTGGTCCATGGAGATGTGTTCGTGCGGACGACGTTGGTCCACCTTTGTTGGGCGTTACGATTTTGAAAGACGGCGACTTTCGAAAATGAAGGGGTCTTTGGAAAAGGCGCGCAACCCCTCCGTTCGAAATTCGAAATTCGAATTTTCGCAATGCGAGTGGCGGCGCGTACAAGACGTCGGTTTTTAAATTTGACGGCAGCAGCGCCCAGCGTGCGGGGGCATTTGCTTAAGTGACGACGTTGGTCGGAGGTTTCAGTGTCGACGGGGTACGCGCCTGTGCGCCTTCGAAGAAGCAAGGACGACATCGACTTGTCGCCATCGTCGCAGGCTAACGTCCTTTGTCGTCGCGTGGCGTTTAGGGTTGTCTGGCGAGGCGGCGTTGTCTTCTTCCACGTGGCGGTGTTCGTGTAGACTCAATGTTGTTTTGATATTGACGTCCATGTTCACTGAAGTGACGTCGGGGATGGATATCGATGGCGAGGACAACCGTGACATGTTGACGACGACGGAGAGGACAACCGTCGCTGAGGCCGTCAATGTCGTCCTCTCCCGTTGCCAAATGGAGAGCAGTGAGGGGAAGTTGAAAGCAACTGTTCGTGCACACCGCAAGCTCACAGCGCTGCCGACGACTGGCGATGGCTTCGACATTGGTGCCATTTCGGACGCCATCCTGCAGGTGTGCTATGCGATGGGGTGCAGCGCATTTCCACGGGCGACACCAAGGTGGTGGATAAAGCGACGGACGGGGGGTACGTGGGAGGATCTGCGACAATGTGATGACGCCACAATAGATTACTTCAAGGAGAAGCTGCGAATGTTGCCACGTGTTTTCCGCGAGATTGCGAGAACTCTGTCTCCATACCTACAACGCCGTGTGATGCTCTACAGGGTGTCGTTGCAGCCAGACCAAATCATCGCGTACACTCTGTATAGGTGGGCGTTGGGGGAGACACACGATAGCGGGACATGAAACTTCGGCATTGGCAGGTCTTCCGGCTTAACGGCGGTGTGGGACGTGACTGCTGTTTTGCTAAGCACGTACCCCGATAAGATATCATGGCCCACTCGTTTGCAAAAGGCGGTCGTCTTGCGCGCGTTCACCGACAAGGGTTTTCCGAACGGCCATGGGTGCATCGACTGCACCCACATCTACATCGACAAGCCTGCCAATGCCAACGACGAGGACTACTGCGACAGAAAATGTCGATTCTCCATCCAAGCGCAAGTGGTCGTCGATATGAACTTGCGCGTGCTTGATGTGTTCGTTGGTTATCCAGGAAGTTGCCACGACGCGAGGATCGTCCACCTCTCGAGTTTATGGGCGCGCTGTCAGAAGATGATGCGGCGCAGCAGCGGAAATTGACTCGCCGCGGTCAATTCCCACGCTGCGTCAAAATTGCGTCAGCAGTCATGGTCAAACTGGACCCTAGCGCTTCGTTTAGACTTTCCCTGGGCCGAAACCGAGGGAAAGACGACGCAACAGTACGGGCCCCTGGAAACCTGATCTTCCTCGTTGGACTGGACCGACGTGACCACAATGGGCCAATTACTGGGGTCCGGTCCAAACGGCACTTGAAACGGACCAAGGGTTAGCGAGATATTCAAGTTTGACCGGTTGGGACTTGACTGACACGACAGGAAAGGAACAGCCCTAAGTAGCCATATAGATGAACAACCAGGCCCGAATAATTAAAATAGGGTCATGTGCTATTTTTAGCACGGGACTGACTGTTCATTTTCCAAAGTCGGGCCTGCGCCAGTCCCGTTCTAAAAATAACACAGCCCCGTGCTATTTTTAGCGTGAGACTGATTGTTCATCTACCGGGAACT